ATAAAATAGTTGTATAGAGAATGAAAACTTGATTATAGTTCAAATACAGTAATCTGTGATCAAAAGTTATAAACAGAGTTGGGGGTGTGGCTAGGTAGTAGAGTACTTGGCTAGCATGTGTAAGGCCCTGGGTTCCATCCCCAGCACTGAAAAAAAATATATTAATTACAAAGGGCTTCAGGGTTTCAAAGAAGGACACTAACATTCTTAGTCACTGAAGGCAGAAGAGAAAAAGAAGGATCAGAAAACACTGTAAAGAAGGCATGGAAGGGGGCTGGGGATGTGGCTCAAGCGGTAGCGCGCTCGCCTGGCATGCGTGCGGCCCGGGTTCGATCCTCAGCACCACATACCAACAAAGATGTTGTGTCCGCCGAGAACTAAAAAATAAATATTAAAAACTCTCTCTCTCCTCTCTCTCTCCTCTCTCACTCTCTCTTAAAAAAAAAAAAAAGGAAGAAGGGATGGAAGGCTGGGCGCAGTGATGCATGCCTGTAATCCCAGCAACTCAGGAGGCTGAGACAGGAAGATGGCTAGTTCAAAGCCAGCTTCAGCAATGTTGAGGTGCTAAGCAACTCAGTGAGACCATGTCTCTAAATAAAATAAAAACTAGGGCTGGGGATATGGCTCAGTGGTTGAGTGCCCCTGAGTTCGATCTCCAGTACCAAAAAAAAACTAAAAAAAAAAAAAAAAAAAAAAAAAAAGAAGGGATGGATATTGGTGGGGAAAAAAATGATACTAAAAAGCATTCTTTTACCAGCTTTTGTCCCATCTCCATCCAGCTCCAATGCCTCACTGTTCAAAAGTTACACTAGCCCTTGACTGGCATTATGATCTGTCCTGTGCCTCAGGAGTAAAGTTGGTGTGCAGTAAAAGACAAGAAGTGTAAGTCCTAATGTGTCAAAGACTTGCTGTGTCATCTTAGGCCTGACACCTCATCTATAAAATGGGAATTTTTAAAAAGTTATATATCTCCCAGAGTTGTTGAGAGGCATGTGCTCAAAAAATGGCAAATATGATTCCTATTTGATTTTCTTCCCAGGAGTGAAAATGAATCTACTCACCTACTCTTTAAATTTGGCAAAACAAGCCATACACACACACACACACACACACACACACACACACACACACACACACATCAGGCTTCCTCGCCTAAAATATTAGATTCTGCAGAAAGCTTTGTATGTCTCTTTTTTAGCCCACTTTTGATAAATACTATAGGATCTACAACATCTGAACTGGTTTTGGCCTGATTGAAACTTCACAAAGCATGACAGTTTTGGTAAAAATGGAATTGCTGGGTAATTTTTTAAGACTTTAGGGTCATTAAGAAACTTTGGGAAACATTTCCTCTGAAGGAAAATAAAATGAAGTAAAAGCTGGCTAAAATGTCAATGTGGCTTGCTGATAGCTGTGGTCCTCCTGAAGAAGAAAGTGTGGCCAAGGAACCAGACCTAGAAAGCGGTGACATAGGGGCACCAATGGGGAGCTTCGCCTGGTCCTTTTTATATCCAACATTTTTTGGTTTGAAGGTAACTAAAGCTATAGGCTATATCAGACAAAAAGGAGGGAACTTCCAGAACCATGATGATATATTAAATTCCATCCCAAGCTCAATAAACTATGACTTATAAGGCTTGTAAAATCTTTACAGGGCTCCTGACAGCTGCACATGTGCTGAGGGCCAGAAGAATGGAACCTTTTGCAAAACATCTGCTAAATCATGCATTTTGGCTTGAATTGCTCTGTCTGCAATGAAGACAAAATACAGAGTGAGCACAGTTCAGTAAGAATTGAAGGAGTAGATGTGGGAGCTTTTGCACAAGATAGGGGCTGCTTAGTTAAGGTGGCATTTTGTTATAGCTTCTATTTGTAAGATGCATTTGCAAGGGGGGGGGCATCAGGATTAGAACCCAAGGGCACTGAACTACCAAGCCACATCCCCAACCCTTTTCTCACTAAGTTGCTTAGAACCTCACTATGTTGCTAAGATTGTCTTCCAACCTGTGATCCTCCTGCCTCAGCCTCCCCAGCCACTGGGATTACAGTGAGCCACCATGCCCAGCTGTAAAATGCATTTCTGACCATATTGGATAAAAGCTGCTCTGTCCTAATTTTAACTATGCCTGAGGAACATGGCTTTGTTGGCCACACATTGTTACATTGAGGATCTATTGGAAGACATAAACTTCTGGTAACTTCTGACAAACATGAGCAAGAATAGATTATACTCAGCAGGCTAAAAGAGAGTCCTAATAATTTTAACTGGAGTACATGAACAGATGGGAGAAAATGGATTTTCATGGACAAGTAAGTTGTTTTCCGTAGTCCAGGGAATTTGCAACTCAGAGAAATTAGGGGCTGGGAATGTAGCTTAGTTGGTAGAGTACTTGCCTTGCATGCACAAGGCCCTGGGTTCAATCTTCAGTACCACACACACAGACACACACACACACAAAAAAAAAAAATCAGAGTGATTGGAACTTGATTATATATAGCAAGCTGAGTTTTGCTTAACTCAAGTGCTTGTGGGGGGAGAATACCATCAGGAAACAGATTGATACAAGGGGCTTTCCTCTTTCACTTTTTCCATGCTATGTTTTGGATTTTGGGGGTTTTAAATAGTACGTTACTCAGATAACTGGAATTTGAGTAAGGAAATAAAAAGAACTGTAATGATGTCCTTCTTCCTCTCCACTCTGCTCAGGTTTTATTGACTAGTTCACTTTCTAGCCTCAGAGGACTATGCACTATGGGAGAAGAAACACACTCAGTTGTGACCCCTGGAAATGAAGTCAAGACCTTGTATCCCTCAAATCTCTAGCCAGACCTTTAGCATTGAAACCAACCAGGTAACAATGGCACCAACTTTCCAATTGCTCACAGAATTTGGTTAGTTGATTGCTTTCTAAAAATATGGGAGCAGGGCT